AGAGTTTCCAACTTTTGTTTGAAAAACACAGTCACAGTGCGGTTGGATAAAGAGTTCCTGTGCTTGGTGGTGGGCCAGAAGCTGCTCAGGCTGAGCTTTCAGCAGGGCCACTTCTCTGGGTTTAGGATCTAATTCTGGGCTCTATTGGCCCACAGATGTGGTCTAGTCAGTGTACCTAGAGGGATTCTAGGACGTATCATTGTTCTCAGGGATATACGCTGATTAGACAGACTCAGGAGACACTATTTCCTATTCACAATGAGAAATAGAACTATTGAACCAGACKCAGCGGTGCTGGCTTGTAATTGCAGTGACTTGGGAAGCTGAGGCAAAAGGGTCTGAAGTTCAAGATTGGCTCAACAACTTGGTGATACCTTGTCTCAAAATTTTAAAAAAAAGGCTGGGGATGAAGCTCCGTGGTCAGTTACCTCTGGGTTCTATCCCTAATACTGGGGGTAGGGGAAAGAAGAAAGAGGATCGTTGTCTAGACCCTGAAGCTTGGCTTCCAGGGCTTCTCCTCAGCCAAAAGATCGAAAGTCTGAGGGAAGACAGATTAGCCTGAAAGTTACCCATAGCAGGTGGGATTTCATAATATTTGATAGATGGTTAAAATTTGAGAGCTGCTTCTGTCRTGTACAACTTCTTAGGTTCATGTCACCTAAGAAGTGAGTTAGGATCACTTTTTCTGTCCTCAAAGTTAATTATATGAAGCTGAGGCATTAGAGTTGCCCATTGATTGTTCAGGTCACACATTTTCTAAGAACCCCTAACCTTGATGGAATCGGTTTTGTAAAATTCGTCAGTCATCTATTTTCCAGCCATCAAGGTTGGCTAGATCCCTCATTTTGTTTCTCACATTTAAATCTTCCCTTGCTCACTGAGTGCTGGTGGCCTGCAGTGCTGAGGTGGCTTAGCCATCCACTGGCCACCTCAGTGTTCTTTGCATAATGAAAAAAAGATGAGTAAACCAGGAGTCGGGGAACTGGATGCCCAAGCCTCATCTTGGGCAGGTCATGTTCCTCTTGCCTTTAGCCCTTCCTCAGTTGATTTCTGGGGTCCCTTTTTCTTTCCCAAATTCTCCCATCTTGAGGGGGGGTTAGGGGGAGGCTGGGTTTCTCTCTCTGTAATACAGCCTCATTTTTTCAGATCAGGACCGCCTGGATAAAGAAATAGAAAAACTCCGGAAACAACTTAAAGTGAAGGTCAACCGCCTCTTTGAGGCCCAAGGTATTGCCCTGGGGGACCTGGAACCAGGAGGGGAGGGAACCATCAGTCACACTTGGAAGGACAGAATGGGAAGCCCCTCATAGATGGACAGTGATGGGAGCTTCMTGTGCTGAAGTAGTGGTTGTAGCCACCCAGAGATAAAATGGATAGAGAGGTTTGTGGGTCTTTTAACTCCTGTCATAGCTTCTTTTCCAGGCACCAGAAACTGCCTGGGGTGGTGTCATATCATATGCCAGCACTTGATGTAGGGACCATGATAATTCTGACCGAGATAACTCAGGTRGTAGGCTGGGGCTGGGGGTCAGTGGTAGAGTGCTTACCTGGCACATGTGACACTGGATTCGATCCTCAGCACCACATAAAAATAAGTAAACAAAATAAAGGCCTGTTGATGTACAACTAAACAAATCAATTAATTAATTATTATTATTATTTTTTTAAAGCTCAGGTGGTGAAGGTCAGAACTAAAATCCTAGGTAAACCTAAGCATTTCTGTGATGGGGTCTGGCATAAATCTGTAGTTCTGTAGGCAGCAGCTGTGACTTTGCAGGTTCTTGGGGCCCTGGAGCTGTGTTGCTGTGCATCGTCTAGTGCGCTGCAGAACCGGAGGCCCATCCTGTCAGACAGGCTGTTTGGCAGCATTAATGCAGAGTTAGCCGCTTTCCTGGGCCTGACTCCAGAGCCAGCAGTAGGTTGGGCAGCAGGAAGCACAACTTGCTCATGAATTCTTCTCCCCCCAGGCAAACCGGAGCTGAAGGGTTTTAATCTGAATCCTCTCAACCAGGATGAGCTTAAAGCTCTCAAGGTCATCTTGAAAGGATAAGACTCAAGTACCAGGATGGGGGACCTACGGACCAGCATCAGACCCTCCAACCTTGAAACCTGCAAGGACAGGATCAGCCCTRTAAGGGCACGGGTGTCAGAAATATGGCTGTGGCTCCTCTATGAAGCCTCTGTCTGCAGCACTTGGCTGCTGTGGGATCCCTCAGCTTGTCCCTCTCTACTGTCTGACCACTGAGGCTCGGTGGACACAAGACCTATTGACAGGCCCTTCTGCTACCAGTAGGTGTGTGGGGGTKTTGAATGACTGCAGCAGGCACTTCTCAACAATGGCCTGCTGTCCAGATGGGCCCTGGTAGGGAGAAGGGAGAGGTGGAGCRCAAGCTCCTGCCAGCATTCCTCTAGAGGGGGGAGGCCTTTTCAGGCAGCATGTGTAACAATGGAAGGAAAGCAGGAGGCTGGGCTGGCAGGTGGCTTCTGAATGAAGCTCGGACTCTGTTCATCACCGCCATCCATGAGGCAGACCCACGTTTCCCCCACCTCCAGTTTTGTCCTTCCTGCTGGCTTTCTGGAGCAGGTGCTGCTTATCAAGCCCCACAGCTGCTCTTAGTGGGGCCTTGCAGAACGCATTAGGGAGGGCTTCCCTCCTAGCTCATGTTCATATCTAGTGCCTCTGAAAGCTTTTAAAGGCAGTGGTGCTGCTCAGTCTTGGCTTCTTCCTGGCCTGAGATGCTAGGATAGCTGTGCTGTGRGGACAGAATTGTCCTTTGTGTTTATTGAAGGATCAATAAATGTTAGCTACACAAACAAGTAGTTTCTAGTTGTCACTTCATTCAGTCCTTCACTGAGGACATAGCATTCCTTTTAAAATATAATTTATGAAGGGAGGAGGCCCTTCCCTTAAAATGATACCAGGCTCAAACAGGTAACAAGTAACAAATGAGGTGTTGCACCTCACATGGTCCTCTCTCTCCACTTGGCCCCAAATGATGGAAGAACATGGGCCAGTATGGCCAGATCATAAGACTTCCAAGAGGAGCTAGAAATCAGGTGGTTAGGTTGAATCTCCTGTCTTTTAAATATTGCTGACCAAATGTTTAGAAACTTGAGTTTCAGTCAGGTAAAACACCTTATGGAAGCCAAATCTGACCCAGACCTGCAATTCGCATCTCTGTGTAGAAATCCCTGTTTTCCTTGTAATAGCCCTGAGAAGTAGGAGGTGGAGTCGAACAAGCTCCAGGTCTGTCCACAGGGGACTAGTCAGAGGAGTGAGTAGCTCTAGAATGGACAGCCGCATGGCTGTGAGCAAGGAGAGGGAACTTGGACCCCAAGGTAGAACAAGTTCCAAGCTACACTGAGAAAAGCAAGAGGCAGAACAGGTGTGTCTGGCTGTGTGTCGATACTATGTGGTTCCCTCAAGGAGAAACTAGGGTGGGCACAAGGGTGGGAGGGAAGGTGTCACTGTTTACCTTTTTTGTAGATTTTGAACTTTATGTAAATATATTGCATATTTTAAAATAGAAATGTAAAGGTAGGAATTGCAGAATTAACTTTGGTATGTGCCGTCTGGTATGACAATCTGGCTTACAGTATCCCCTTTGGAACCTTGCTCCTGCTTGCCTGGTGGGTGGGTGCCCCAAAGAGCCAATCAGATTCTTTTTCCTGGAAACAGGAAACCTGGAGCCCATGCCTTGAGTTACACAGCCTTGCCACACAGGGATGAAGGGAAGTTCCCTCCTCTGGAGGCAGAAGGTCCAACGCTGGGTTCTTGGCCTTTCCAAGGCCAGTTGGCTCACTTTTTGAATTGCTGTTATTTTTCTTCCCCACATTTGCAGCCAGAACAACCCAGAAATGGAGAGTTAGAGGGAGCCACCTGGATCCCTGGGTAGGTAGGTCCCCATGGAGCAGTTAGCCTGTCAGTCAAGGTTGTTGTAACCCCTCTGAAACCAAGAATAGAATTTGGACTGGAATGTCGAAGGCAGAGGTGGGTAGGGATGCAGAATATTTTACTTGTACCCAGTTCCCCRGGCAATCTTGTTTACCCACCCAAGGATTTCTGGATTTGAAAACTCAGCTCCCAACTCAAATAGGAAGCCCCAGATAGGTGCCTAAGGTACCTAGATGACAGACAAAAGCATTTTGGGGTGAAGGGGTACTGGAGATTGGACCCAGGGGTGCATGATCACTGAGATGCATCCTCAGCCCTTTTTATTTTGAGATGGTCTTGGATAAGTTGCTTATGGCCTCACTTAGTTGCCGAGACTGGCTTTGAACTCACAATCCTCCTGCCTCAGCTTCTTGAGCCACTGGGATTACAGGCATGTGTCACCACTCCCAGCCACAAATGCATTTTTGAAGAGACACTAAGCAGCTTTACCTTCCCAACCCTCACCTTTTCCATCTGAAAAATGAGCATACTGGCTTTCAGATGGTGACCAGGGAAATCCATGGGTTTCACTGAGAAGCAAGGTCATTGTGTTGCAAAAAGGAGGGCTCAGCGCTTCCCCAGACACCTAGTAAACACAGTCTAATAATTGCTGGCTTTGCAAGAACAGTTTAAAGACAAATTCCCTGGAACGTGAACTCTTGATCCAAGGGATCCTTCCAGCATGATCTGAGAGACACCAAAATACCAAAGCCAGCCATGCCTGGTGGTGCACACCTGTAATGCCAGCTACTTGAAAAATGGAGGCAGGAGCATTGCAAGTTCAAGGCCAACTTTGGCAACTTAAATAGACCCTGTCTCAAAATTAGAAAATAAARGACTGGGGATGTACTCAGTGATAGAGCACCCCAGGTTCAAGCCCCAATACTGCCCCATTAAAAAAAAAAAAAAAAAGCCAAAGTTCAGTGAACCTGGCTGCAACCAACAGCCTCCCCTGAGCCAGACCCAGTGCCCAGTGACTTTCCTCCAAGTAAGGCCTGTGCTCATTTATTAGATGTGATCTCTCTAGGGTAGCAGAACTTGCTGCACTTGTCTTCTTTGGGTCCATTCACCAAGCCAGTCTGTCAAGGTTAAAGCCCCTCCAGTCCCAGGGATTGGCTGTCTCCTGGTGCAAAGAAGCCAGAGGGTGGGGGTAGGGATCCAAGGGGCCCATCCAAGCAGCAAGCAGAGGCTGCTTAGCCAGCAAAGCTGCTGCCAAGCTGGAGGGAGGGAGAGAGGGAGGGGAAAGGCCGCGAGGTACCACTGTGCTGGAATCTGGGGTGGCACCTTGCAGGGCCTCTTGGCTCCCCATGGCAGCTGGGGTCAGCTGGATGCTTTCTTCTGGGCTTGGAGGGAGCGGAACAGCTGCCTCAGCTGTTTTTTCCGATCRTTGACGCAGCCTGGAAGGGAAGTGAGGTGTTGGCTGGGATGCTGTTCTTTGGGGGGAGTGGAGGGTCCCATGCACCCATTAGGAGGGAAGAGGGGACAGCAGGAGTTGTGTAGCCACACATGGCCAGGGTTTGCATCCTGGCTCTACTCCTGAGCTGCCAGGGCCCTCAAGCGGTCATTTACCTCTGTGAATATCTGTTTCCTCAGTCAGGACAATACCACCCACCTTGCAGAGAGAACATAAGGACCCTGCAGCAAGAGCTGAGGTTGGCTGGCCTCCAGCCAGGTGTTGCAGGTGTCACACACACATAAACTTCTTAAACCCTCACAGGGCCATGTGCCCCAGCTCACACAAGCAGGCCCCGTGGGGACTTGAACCCGGGCTATCTGGTGCTGGAGCGAAGCTCATAACCGCTGTCCCACCCCTGCTCACTTTAGTCCTGCTGTTGCTCAGTGAAGATGCATAAAGCTAGCACAGCATCTGAAGYCCAGGAAATGCCGGCTTTCTTGCCCTACCCAGCCTGTGTGCCAGGCACAATTGGCTAAGAGATGAGTTGTCCCCACAAGTGGCCCCTGGCTCACCAAAATGTGTCCCTGGGCAGTCCATGCCGAGGTCACCTCCCAGCATGTTCATGACACGGCCTGTTTCTGCCTGCTTTCACAGCTGATCCTTAAGGGACCTCCACAGTCATTTAATCTGTGCCAGGCATATTGATGGCACTCATCAGTGCTGCCTGAATGGCTTGGCCACAGTACTGACCTGGAGGTACCTGCCATCTTAGCACTCAAACCCCTGCCRGTCATCAAGGCCTCCCTGAGCTGAGAGCCCACTATGTCTATCTGGCCTTAGGATTTTCCAAAGTGAGTCCCCTGGAACCCTGGCTTTAACTGTCTGTCATTGGCTTGTTCATCATGCCAAATCTTCCTGTCCAGAGCAAACCCCTTTACAAGCTGCAGACTGATCTCTTATSTGCTGACCTTGTCATCCAGATATCCCTGAGCATATCCCTAACTCAGTCCTCAATTGTCTTCCTCCTGCCCCCAACCCCCACCTCCTGTGTTTACCACCACCCACCCAAATACTCAACTGGAAACTTAGAATAATTCTAGAGACTTTTAAAACAGTGGCTCTCTACCTGCACTGAGTCATTGGGAGCTTTTTAAAATGTCAATGCCCAGTCCAACCATATCTTTATTTCTGATAGGCATATTTTTTAAAGTTTCCAGGTGGTTCTGATGTGCCACTGAGATGAAGAAGCACTGTGCCCTCTCTGGGCTACCCAAACAGGTGCCCAGGAGCCAGCAGCACTGGTATTGGGAGTGTTTTGCCCACAGAGATGGCTGCGATTTTCCCCATTGCTRCACATACCTCTGTGAGGTGACTGCCACTCCTCTCATCAAGAGGGGGTCTGTTTCCTCACTCTGCAATTCTGGGATGGCCTAGCAAATCGAATTGAGCAATGGATGGCAGCAGAATGCCAGTGTGGGACGTCCTAGCCTCTGTCTCAAGAGGCTTTACCTTGTCTTCTCTTGGAACCCTGGGACTACCAGGGGAAGAAGCCAGGGACAGGCTGTTGGCCACATGAAGGAAGCCCAGCTGAAAGCTAGTTATCAACCCTCAATTGGGATAATGAGGTTCTCCTGGGTCATTGTGTCCCAATAAAGCTGCCAGGGGCCTGCAACCCATGAGTCACCCCAGGAGAGACTTGAAGAATCATGAAGAAATAGTCATTTGAAGCCGCTGGGTTTGAGGAGGGCTGGTGACAGCATAGTTAACAGAGCATCACCTGAGAGCCTGTCAAAAATGCAGCTCTCAGGCCCCAGCCCTTACTGAATCCTAATACACATTTTAACAAGATTCCCAGGCATTACAGTCTCCACCAACAAGGCAGTTGGGGCTCCATGTGGAAACGCTGATCACAAGCCCCCTCATCTTTGCCTTCATCAAAGCAAACTGTTCCAAACTTGTAGCTGGGGTGGCCATGTGACCCAGTTCTGGCCATTAAGATGCCTTACAGTTCCCTGGAAGGGCTTCCCTTTTGAAATAAGAAGTTGATGCCTTTAGGACTTTTCTGTTTTCCCTCCTGGGACAAGGCACACAGTGTCTGGAGTTGGTGCAGCCGTTTTTGCAACCATAAGACAATAACTATGAACACCAGACCAACTGGTTAGTATGGCAAAGAAAGAAGAAAGAGCTGGGTCCTCAGGGTATCACACAGCCATGTGTCAGCCCTGTGTGGCCTACCCAAGACTTCCTGTGGCTCAGACAAGCCAGCCCGTCTCTATTAGTTGGCTTTTTAGTTGCATGCAGCCAAACCTGATCCTAAATCCTACCAACCCTAAAAAAGATATAAAGTTTCATCAAAAAAGAAAAAAGCCACCAYGAAACAAATTTAAAAACAAATGACAAACCCAGGGAAATCTTTATGGTAAGTTTGACACAGGGGTAATGTCTCCAACACATTGATATCCAAAGCTTTTATAAATTGAAAAAAAAAAAAAAAGCTATAAGCAACCCATAGAAAAAATAAAGAGCATGTATAGCTTACAAAAGAAGAACTGCAAATTTAAGATACTGAAACCTCACCGGGATCAACGGAGTGCACATAAAACAACAATGTGCCACTGCTTTTTACCTATCAATTGAGTTGGCGGAGACTTTTTTCTAAATTACAAACTGGCAAATTGGTGTGATTTTCTGGAAAGCAGTTCAGTTGTAATACATTCATTCCTTTGGCCCTGTAAGTCTGCTTCTAGGAATCTGCCCTAAGGTAATAGCCAGAATTTCAGCTGGGTTATGGGAGAGGAGTCCATTATGATATTATAAAAGTAAAAAGTTAGACTGTGCCAAATGGCCAATCAGAAGAGACTGGCTTGGTGAATTTGGGCACACACGCAAACTCAAGTATTTCGCAGCTGTATGGGAATTTTAACTAAGAGGTCAGGAGAGTCCAGCAGTGAATGTTCGGGCCTTGGGGTCACTAGAGTTCAAGTCTGACTCATCACTTAAGACTGAGGCCTCCAGCAACCCATGACCCATCTGGAGACCATTTCCTCATCTGTAGAACGGTAACAAAACTCACCTAAAGTTACAAGATAATGTGTGTAAAGGGTTTAGTCCAGACCTGGCCAAAAAATTCTTCCAAATGGGAGGTTCTGATTAATATTCTTGAATGGGAGATGCTGGACTCAAAATTCCAGCCCAATGCCAATTTTATAGAAGAAAAAGTATGAATATATGCATTTTTGTAAAACTCGAAGGAAACACGCCAGATTGTTAAAGATGGTTACGTCTGCATGTTTTTTTTAAATTTTCTTCTTTAGTTTTCAAATATTCTACAATGAGTGTGAATATATATATATATATATATATATGTGTGTGTGTGTGTGTGTGTGTGTGTATTTTTTTCCCGTACTAAGGATTGAGCCAGGGGTATTATTGAGTGTGAATATATGTGTGTGTGTGTGTGTGTGTGTGTGTGTGTGTATTTTTTTTCCCCAGTACTAAGGATTGAGTCAGGGGTATCCTAACCACTAAGCTACACCCCTAGTAGACCTTTTTATATTTAATTTCAAAGCAGGGTCTAAGTTTCCCCCACTGGCCTTGAACTTGCAATCCTTTTGTCTCAGCCTCTCAAGTCACTAGGATTATAGATGTGCACCTGGCTGTGTGAATAATTTTTGATCTTTTTTTTGGTGGGGAGAGGCTACTAGGGATTGAACTCAGGGGCACTCAACCACTGAGCCACATCCCCAGGCCTATTTTGTATTTTATTTGAGACAGGGTCTCAAATAGTTGCTTAGCGCCTCTCCGTTGCTGAGGCTGGCTTTGAACTCAGGATCCTCCGGTCTCAGCCTCTTGAATCACTGGAATTACAGGCGTGTGCCACCAATTTTTATAATCAAGAAAAAAATTTCACTTTTTAGAAACTAGCTTAAAGCCAAGGCCTGAGGCCCTTAATTTCTCTTAATGACATTATGCATTTTTCCATTGGTTGTCCACTTAAGCCTTTTGAGATCCGCCTCCTGACAGATCAACAATGTCTCGCTGTGTGCCAGACAGTGTTCCAGACATACACGGGAACTGTTCCCTCTTAATTCCACAGATGAGGACCAGGGAGGTTGACTCCCTTGCCTGGGGTCACAGAGCTGGTGAGGAGCAGACTGATCCAGACATTCCAACTGCTCCTTGAGGCTGCCTCTAGACAACCCACCACCTCCTGGCGCAGCCCTGGTGCCCACGCCCCACCTGGCACGACATACCGAGGTGTGTGTTGGTCACGGAGTTTCCCATCCCTGACAGGTCAGCAGCCCCCTCCTCTCTGCTGACAGGGCCATCATTCCACATAAGGTCAAAGCCTCCGACCCKCTTTTCCCTTCCTGTGAGCCTGCACGGGCAGAGACACCAAGGTTAGAGAGGCCAGGACCCAGCCCTCTCTCAACCCCATGGGTGTCCACCCTGTCAGAAGCCCTGTTTTTGGTCCAACCATTCACTGTCTGTTCCCTGGACCCCACAGTCTCTGAGAGGTTGTCCTCTGTTTTTATGCTGAGGTCCCCACACTTGCCCTCAGGAAGATGCATCCAGTTGTGATTTTCAGTTTAAAGTCTATTTTCCTCCCCAGACCATAAATACCACAAAGCCAGGGACTAGGTCTGCCATCTTCATTACCGTATTCCTAGTGTGTGGCCCAGGGTCTGGCACACAATAGTCTCAAATGTTTGTTGAATGAATAAGCAATGGTAGGTTTAGTGGATGCCTGAGGTTTCTCTGCTCAGCATCCAGTTCACCTTCTTTCAGTCCAGTGGTGCCTCTGCTTTTCTTGAAGAGTCACCCCTCTCTCCCTCACCCCTAGGCCTCGGTGGGGTTGCTCCTACCCCCTGGTCTATCAGAGTTACAGTGATTGGTTCAGGAATGGGCATTCTCACTTCCAGCATTGAGAATTGGCCCTCCAACTTTTGCTGGAATAATTGGGAGAAAGCTGATACAGAAGAGTGGGGGTGGGCAGAGAACAAGTGTGTGAGTGTGTTTGTGCAAGAAAGGGAGGGAGACCAACCCACTAACGTTGACTAAGTACCTGGATGCACCCATTCCTGAAGCTAACCCTGGATCCTTCCCATTACATAAACATTGTTATAACATAAACAGTCTCTTATTTGGGCAGTTACTGTGAGCTAAGCACTTTRCAATAAATGATCTTAGTAAATTAGAATAACCCGGAGGGACAGTCATTTCCCATTTTACCTATGAGGAAACTGAGGCTCAGAGAGGTGAAGTGATTGGTCCAGGGTCCCATAGTTAGGAAATTTTGAATAAATCCTGCTAGACTGAGTCTCAGAAAGCTGTGGATGGCCTTGCTCCCTTCTGGAGAGGCCGAGTCCTTGGGCCAGGACCTGACCCTGTGTGGACATCCATAAAATGTGGGGCCATCCAAGGGCCTGAGTTCTCTTCCCTGGTGGAGCCCCGGCTGCCTCGGCCAGGGCTGCCTCACCTGGCCTCCATGTCCACCACGTGCAGTGTGTCCTGCAGGAGTCGGGTCTTGAGCTCATAGTCCTCCTGGCTGCTGGCCGTGAGCGACGGGGATGCGTTGACCTCCAGGAGCCACCTGGGGAGGAACGGGAGGGAGAATCTGAGGATTTCCCTGAGGCTAGATGCGGTGCCTGGGGCCCACTGTCAGCTCCACCCAGGTGGCTCCATCTTTCCCTCTGAAGAAAGGGAGTTTAGAGGATCGGAGCCAGCCCTGGGCGAGGGGGACCGTGGGGCCCTCCTGCTGGTGATGCTTTTCCTTTTCCAGTGGGGACCTGAGTGCAGGAAGATCCCTTCCAGAGGGACAGTTGGCCACRGCTGGCAACTGACCTACCGGGTCAGGGGCTGGGCCGGCGGGGATGGGGGTGGGAGGTGGCGGGAGACGGCTTGGAGGGGCGTCCGCATCTAAAGGGAGAGCTGTGGGCAGCTGCAGGCAGCATTGCCCCAGGGGAGTATGAGCTGAGAATTATGAGATCATCTGATTTTTCTAGAAAAGCCCCAAATCCTGATTTTTAGGTAAACATCTCCCAGATTTTGTCAAAAAAAAATTAAACACAGAAACATTCTGAAGATCAAACCTAAAATACCTGTATCTGCAGGTCCCAAACAGCCCAGGACCTCCAGTTCCCTGGAGCCCACATGGGTCTGGAGGTTTTGTACAGCCTGGTCATTTTACAGACAGGAAGCTGGGGCACAGGAAGAGCAAAGGGCTCCCCCACTGGACAGTGGGGGGCCAGAGACCCCCTTTCTACTCCTCCCAGCTTGTTCCCACCTCAGTCTACCCTAATGATGCAGCCAGAGCTCGCTGCCAGGGGCAGAGGAGAGAGACTGCTGGGTGCTGGGACTCAGTGTCCCTTTAGCCAGGAGCTGACTCAGGTGTCACTATGCCTGGCTCTGAAAGCCCACAGCACCTCCGGGGTGACCTTGGGCAGGGGAGTGGCCTCCTGCATCCAGCAGTGCTGGTGGGGAGCAGCCCAGCGCKGGCACTTGACCCTGAGTTTCATTTTGCCCTTGACTCGCCGCTGACCTCCCCCTCCCCCAAGCCGACAACCCACGGGTTTCMATGTCCTGTCGTGTCATGTGAGGCCATCGCTCTGGTCCCTGCCAGCTCCAGCTTGTTCTCCTCGCCAGCTCAACCCCCTCCATGGGCAAGAATGCACCACATTCTTGGCAGGAACAGCCACCGTGACAATATTCCCTTACGTGGCACTTCACATCCTCCAAGGGCCAAGACTTCCAGAGGGGAAGTGTTTTGCCGGGTAGGAGGGGAGCACCCCTCACTCAGCCCACCAACAGGACAGGCTTCCCAGAGCCARCACGAAGCCCCATGTCCCAAAGACAGCTCATTTGTCCCTCCTAACAACCCTAGAGGTACAGCACAGTGACCAACCCTGTTTTACAGACTGGCAAACTGAGGCATAGAAAAATAGAACTGTGTCCAAGGTCACACAGCCAGGAAGTGGCCGAGCTGGGCTCCCAGACCAGGGTGCCCGCTTGTAAAGCCAGACCCCGGGCCCAGCTGCCCACTTACGGCTTGAGGTCCTGGTCGATGAGGATGTCGTAGCCGTACAGCTCGAAGCAGTGCTTGTCGCTGATGATCACCTTCTGCACACTCTGCAGGCTCTTGATGAAGATGTTGTCCATGTCACGGAAGAGCGCCTCCACCGCCTCGGGCCCGTGCCTGGACGCCAGGTACTGCCGGAAGCGCTGCAGCATCCACTTGCAACCCTGGGACCCGGGCAGTAGGGGTTGGCAGAGGAACTTGAGCCAGCGGGACTCACCTGCCACGACCCTCCTGGGAGCCATCAGCGCTACACTAGGCCTGGGCAAGGGGGGCCCAGCCCTGAGTCCCAGGATTAGGACAGCTAGAGTGCACCCCCCTCGTGGGTGGAGATTCTGATAACTCAGAACTACCCAGGCCCCCAGAGGCCCCTGCCCTGATGGCCAGCACAGGCCCTCTCCCTGGGCCTGCTTTTAAGGGCATCTCAAGGCCTAGGATGGTCAATGGGCTGCTGGTCACAGGGGAGTGTGTGTGCAGTCACCCTGTGTGGGATGGAGGCCCAGGACAGAAAAGAAGGGAGCAGGTGTGAGCGGAGKCTCACTCTCCCATTGCCCTAGATCAGGCCCTTCACTCCCAGAARCCGGAGCATTCAGCGTTTCAACCTGGCTCTGCAGGTTACTATATAGATGATAGATAGATAACAGATTGACAAAAAGAATGTCTATATGATACACCAGTCAATGGATTGATCCATAGGAGGTCTCTGTCGGATGGAGCACATTTTCTTTAGGGGTGCATTTTTTTAACCTGCACTTTTAAATATTGAAGTACCTGGTCCATGGATCTCTGTTGTACCATGCCCTGGGCTCTGCAAATGGCAAGGGTGGGCCTGTCCTCGCTGGTGAGCTATGAGCCAAGACAGGCCTGACCTGGGCTCTCTGCCTCTGCCCTTCCCTCCCAACCTCATCCCAGAAGGCTGCCGGGGAGGGTAGAAGCCCAGCTTCTCACCTTCTTTGGGTGGTAGTCCGGAGATGTCTTTTGCACAGCGACATTGGTGAGGTGAACATCTGGCAGAGGTTGGTGGTCAAGGACAAGTGTGGACAGGAAGGACAAGACACCCTCCATAGATCCCCCAGGACTGAACTGAGACCGTGTTTGGGARTTGATGAGGAAAACTACAAAACAGCTCAAAGTTCACATACGTGGGCTGAGGAGCCAGATGGGCCAGGATTCAAATCCGCCTGCCTCTTTACTACCCRTGAGCCCCTAAGCCTGGGGCCCTTGCCCTCTCTGAGCCTTTCTGCCCACCTATTATAGTATGTTGGCTTCAYAGGATTATTTGAAGGATCAGATAAAACACTGTATAAAGATGCCTCTTAGCCAGGTGTGGTGGCCCACGCCTGTAATCCCAGGTACTCGGAAAGCTGAGGCAGGAGAATTGCAAGTTCAAGGCCAGCCTGGGCCACTGAATAAGACCCTGTGTCAAAATAAAATTCTAAAAAGGGTTGAGGATGTAGCTCAGAGGAAGAACACTCCTGGGTCCTGTCCCCGGTCCCCACTCCCAGCAATCACAAGGGCCTCTCACAGGGCCTGGCAGAGCCGATATTATGATGATTTTTTTCAACTCAAGAGAGTTTTTTAACAAGTAGAGACACCAAATGTAGAACAGTCATCTCAGGACACACTGAGCTCCCTGTCACCAAAGGAGTTTGGACTGGGTGGCCACTAGTAGGAATACTAGAGAAGGGATCCAGCATTGGGATGGGGTCAGGTGGCCTTAAAAGGCCCAGCCCTGAGAGTGTGCTTTTGGTATAATCACTTGTCACCTTCAAATGACATCAGTGACACGGTGCAGCTCAGAGTTCACACACATCATCTCATTTGTTCCCAGATACTTCCCATCCAACACATGAGACTTTGGAGGCCCACAGAAGGCAGAGACAGCCATCTGAGACACCCCTTCCTTGGCAACCCCCCCCCAGGGAGCAGGACAGACACCTGAACCTCATGAAATGACCACTATTCGCAGCTTCCTCCAGGACTCRTTGGGAAGGGAGAGGCTCTAGGTCGCTGGCTCAAGTCTAGTTCCCCTAAAGCATGTTTCTCCCTGTCTGTCACCTATGGGACAGGGCAGGGTGGCTTCCACCTTTCTGAGAAGGTGGGTGTCCTTGTCAGCATCTTTTTCCTAGAATGTCATCTTCAGAACTTTTCAAAGATATTTTTTTCTTTCATATTTGAGAATTTTCCTGCCTCCACTTCTAAAGAAGGAGCACACAGACCATCACTCCATAGGATGGGGCCCTCAGGCCTGTGTCCAGGACATTTTCCAAAAGGTTCTGGGGCAATTCAATAGGGTGTGTGTGTGGGGGGATGTTTTTTAAACAAATGACAAATGCAGCAGGGACTCCTGGATATCCAGGTGCAAAAGAATAAAATAGAACCCCTTTCTCAGACCTTAGACCTACATATAAGAGACAAAACTAAAAATTCTTAGAAGAATATATAGGAGTAAGTTGTCCATTGGCCTAGGCAGAGTTTCTTAGATATGACACCAAAAGCACAAGCAATAAAAGAAAAAATAGATAAAATGGACTTTACCAGAATTAAAAATGTTTGGGCTTTAAGGGACATTATCACGACAGTGCTAAGACACCCCAGAGATGGGAGAAAGTATTTGCAAATCACATATCTGATGCGGGACCAGCATCCAGAATACATAAAGCATTTTTGCAAATCAACAATAGACAGATCATCCCATTTTTAAAAGAGCGGAAATTTGAATAGACAGATCTACAAATGGCCAACAAACCCATATGGGTCATGAGGGAAATGCGAGGTAAAACTGCTTCACAACCACGGGGCTGCTGTAACAAAGTGGTTAGACGATATTGTGTGTTGGTAGGAGGTGGGGAAATCGGATTCCTTCACAAAATGCTAGTGGAAATGAGAGATTGTGCAGCACTTTGGAAAACAATTCTTCAAAGGATTCAACAGAATTACCACTGGGCCAGCAATTCCATTCATAGCCATGTGCTCAAGAGAAATGAGAATAGCCCGTAAAAAAGTTTGTGCCTCTCTCTCTACCTCTTTTAGTACCTAGGATGGAACCCGGGGMCTTGCGCMTGCGAGGCCAGGGCTCTGCCACTGAGCCACACCCCAGCCCTTTTGCTCAACAAGTTCTTGAAGCAGCCTTTTTTTCATAATAACCCCAAAGGGGTCACAACTCCAGTGTCTATCCACAGGTAAATAAAATGCCATGCCCCCTTTATTGGAATAGAATATTATTTGGCATCAAAGAGATAGGAAGCTTAATCCCAGCTACTTGGGAGACTGAGGCAGGAGGATGGTAACGTTCAGTCCAGCCTGGGCAACTTAGACCCTGTGTCAAAATAAAATAAAAAGGGCTGGGGGAGGCAGCTCAGTGGGACAGCACTTGCTTAGCRTTTGTGAGGCCTGGTTCAATCCATCTCCAGTACTAGAGAGAGAGAGGGGAAGGTATTGGTACATGTTACAATAAGAAGGAATCTTGAAATCATCATGCCCGGTGAAAAAAGGTGGGCACCAAAGACCACACACGATTGATCCCACTTACATTAAATGTCCAGGACCTTGCACATGCTGGGCGAGCGCTCTGCCATGCGCTACATCCCTGTGTCTAGGAAGATGCATGGAGACAGAAAGCARTTGCAAAGGGCCGGGAGGGGAGTGGAGGGGGCTTGGAGAGCGCTGGCTAGTGCGTGTGCGATTTCTTTGGGGGAAAGATGGAAATATTCTTACTGACTGTGCTGACAGCTGTTTGATTATGATACACACCATTCCTTTGCTTGCTTTATCCGGGTGAATTGCACACTGTACAAATTATATCTCAATGCTAGATATAGATCTCAGTATATAAAGAAGTTGTAAATAAAGCTCAATTATATCCCAATAAAAAAAAAATAGGAACAAGAGGAAACTCAGGAAAAACAAGTTCCTGACGATGATGCAGGGGAAGAAAGCTTGGCTCCCAGCAAGACCCGCTTCCCTCTGCTCCTTCCTGCAAGGGGGAGGAAGCAGGGCCTCCCCAGGAGCAGAGGAGGAGCAGGGCTGAGGGAGGAGAGCCAGGGGGCCAGCCTCAGCCCTCGCCTCCACCGGCATCCCCAGATCAAGTCCTGACGGACCCACGAGACAAGTAGCAAGGAGCAAACAAGCCATCAAAATCAATCTGTGAGAGGTGCAGCTGCTGTGAAGTCTTTAGGGGAAGAGAACTTCCCTCGCCTAACGATGACAGTAGAGATGACAGCGGATCTCAATGGACAGCGACGGACTCAGCTGAGTACAAATGGAAACAATCACATCAGGACAAAAATTAAGGRGCAAACCCAATGAGAGACTATGGCAAATGTGACAGCCTAACGTTTCTGCCACATGAAAATCTCCATAAACTGTCAACAGTAAAACGCTATGTCCCTAATAAATAAAGGCTGTGAAAACATAAAAAGAGAAACTGTCCCTGGTAGAAGGCCATCTGGGAAAATGCTCAAAAGTTTCTAGTAATAAAAGATACACAGTTTAAAAGGAATGTAAATGAGGGGGATGGAAATTGATGAAATCCTGGGGCAGAAACCTCCTTCCTCATCAAGGCAGTTACACCTTTGGGCTTTCTCATTTTGGAAAATTGATAATTCAGAATAGTTGCAGGATAGCATCACGAAGGCCTGGGGATTCTTCACCCAGTCATGCCCATTGTCTTAGAAATGGCTTTTTAAAATAATTGTCCCCAACAGTGGGGACTGGAGATGAAATGAGTGTGTTGGGGTTGGGGACATAGAGAGCTCCTCTGGGAAGAACCTGGTCAGATGCCCTTGACCCGGGATTTACTCCTTTGTCACATCATCCAAAGGAAAAAAAAAAAATACAGTAAAATTGTTGACCAACAAAGTCGTCCCTTTCTCCTAGAAGAAGGATAGATACTCCAATGTGTAGGTGCAGGGTCGACACTTTCTCAATAGGACCCTAAAGCTCAGGAAGTAATGCCAAGAGTTAATAAATGGGATGGTATCGAATTAAAAGGCTTCTGCACAGCAAAGGAAACAATTAAGAATGTGAAGAGAGCCAGGAATAGTGGCACATACCTGTAATCCTAGCAGCATGGGAGGCTGAGGTAGGAGGATCGCGAGTTCAAAGCCAGCCTCAGTAACTTAGAGAGGCCCCAAGCAACTTAGTGAAAGCTTGTCTCAAAATAAGATATTTTGGGGGTAGGGATATGGCTCAGTTGGTAGAGTGCATGTCCCACATGCACAAAGCCCTGGGTTCAAACTGTAGCACCACACACAAAGGATATATATATTTATGTATGTATGTGTGTGTGTGTGTGTGTGTGTGTATTTTTTTTAAGGGCTGATGATATGGCTCAGTGGTTAAGCACTGCTAGATTCAATCCCTGGCAACAAACAAACAAAAAGAGAATGTAAAGAGAACCCATAGAATAGGAGAAAAATTTCCCTAGCTACTCTTCTGATAGAGGATTAATATCCAGATCATAGGGGCTGGGGCTGTAGCTCAGTGGTAGAGCACTTGCCTAGCATGCGTGAGGCGCTGGGTTTGATCCTCGGCACCACCTTTAAAAAATAAA